GGAATGCCTTATATCACGTCCACAACGGGGAGGACGTTGTGCTCCTCACCACCTGCAAACATGGCAAAGACTGGCAAAAGCACAAGGATTCTCGCTGTGACAGAGACAACACCGAGTATGAGAAGTAAGTGGCTTGGCTGGTGTGCTTTTGCGAGACAGTCCTGGGCCCTGCCTGCTGTGGTCCAGTGTGATCTGGGGTGGGGACCACGGAGCTCTCTGTCCTCCTGTTCTGAGCCTGGCACTGAGCACCCAGGGTCTGCTCTGTGGATGGAGGCTGGGGACATAGAGTTTGAGGCACCTCAGGCCAGCTGAAAAGCCCAGAGCACTTGCCTGAGCCAAGTAGGCAACTGTGTCTCCCTCTTGCTTAGAAAACCTTCAGGGCAGTGTGTCTCCAGTTCATGGTGGGGATATGGTCAAAGTTTGGAGACAGTGCTTCACCCATATGTACAGGAGGGTTTCTCCGAGGATGCCTGGAGACCTGGAGAGGCTCTGATCTATTCATAGCCTGGAGAGTTTCTCCCAAGATTGGTGCTGTTGCTTTTTCTCACGAGCTGGGGTATTCACTTTCCTTGGAGTTTTTCCCAGCCTCAAATTTTCATCTTTCAAAAAAATTTTTGTTTTTTCATCTTTCTATTTCTGTACATACATTTGTATTAGTCGTACATGTGTTTTACTTTTAGCTGGTGAACTTCGTGTGCCCATGTGTTTCCTCTCCCATGGCATTGACTTCTGTGAAGGAAGACTAAGCTTGTTGGGGACTGTGACCTTGCATTCATTCATCCATCTATCCATCCATCCATCTCATCCATTCATTAATTTGTATAGGTCCTGTTTCCTTCCTAAGAGAAACTTTTAAAATCTGGGCTTTGGTCCCAAAGCTGTAAACTCTGGTTGCTAATTTAGATTTCCCTTCTCCTTTGTCTTTATCTATTTGCATATAAATCGTAGACTGTTACTGTTTGAATGGGTGTGAGATGCCTCCTTACCCTCTGTAGTGAGGCAAGTTTTGCCCGTTGCTAAGTAACTGAGTTGGTTACTTTGTGGCCCTTTTCACTCTTCCTTTCTTTTTCGATGACAGTAACTGACAGTGGATTTGGGGTCAAAGCTAAATTCCACAAATCTGCTTCAACCTGAGCTCGGCTGGTCAGTTTCTTAGTTAGGTGGGGTTGGTACTCCAGACTCTCACTTGTATCTGGCTGTGAAAGAGTTAGTGAGTTCCTACAGTGCATTTCCACGTTACGCCAGTTAAAAACCAGAGCAGCCGTGTGCTACCCAGGGAAGGAAGGGGAACCTCTCAGCTGAGTACAAGAGGAACTGGCAGAGGTTGGCAGATTTTGCAATTGATTCATGAAATGCAGAGTAGGGGAAATGCTTCACAGACCTGATTGGAACAGGAAGGGGTATGGTGGGAAAGCGGCCCTGAAATGAAAGGTTTGATTGTTGTCTGTGGATTTCCTCAGACACTTGGGCCTCTACAGGAGTGATTGGAAGGGAAATTAAAGTCCTCCTATACCTGACCATAGTGAGTGAAGGAGAAAGTACCAGACTCTTGGATTCTACTCCCCAACCCTCCACACCTTGACTTTCTCAGGCATAAGAAAAGCCTGAGGCAAGGATCAGTTATGAATCTATATTTTACTCTTACGCAGGGGCAGTTGTTACGTATGAATGTTGGGTGCAGTTGCATAGATTAAAATGATCTCACAAAAGAAACTTAAACTGTGGTTGGTAATAAACTGCTTTGTTTGCACGACATTTACATTGACCTATTCCTGTGGGTGCCTGTATGAAAAAATGTGTATAGCCTTTCAGGAATTTCTTTGTCTGGTCTATGGTGGAGTAACTGGAGATGAAGTCTAATCTTTCAGTGTCTTCTAAAGCAGTCTCACTGAATTTTGTAGGATCACGGTGTTCGTTCTTTTGAAAAGGTCAGAGCTGAGATTTCTTCAGGAAATTTGAATTCTGTCTTTATCACAGCAACACTCTCAATTCAATAACACAACCGTGTCTTCTTCACTCTCTTAGGTCCACAGTAAATATGAAATCTCTCTTTTCTGCTGAATGGAAGCTTTTTCTAGAAATTGGCAATGAAGGAAGGAAGGGCTGGTTTCCTCGGACCTTTAATTTTTGCTAATTAAATTTAAGTAATTTTTGACCTCTTTGTGATGGGGCCAACCAATCTGACACCCACACCCTTGTGTTGATTTATGTTTAAAGACCACCAGGGGTCAGGACCTCAGGATCCGGTCTTAGTGGCATTCAGTGGAAAAGCAAGTTTGTTCTTTTTTCCCAAGTTGTGATTTCTTTAGGTCTCTGCTAGACTTTTTTTTTTTTTTTTTGCATACCTGTGAGTCCTGACCTTGTCTAATAGGACAGGAGAGTGCTGCCCTGTGTTTTCATTCCCTAGCCTGCATACCTAGGGTTTGAATTTGTTACTCTCATTAGGTTATCAGGGTTCTTTATCTTTGAGAAAGGATGCTTGCAAACATTATTGCCTTTTTCCAGTTTCCTTGGAACTTAAGAAAATAAAGCAAGAACTCCGAAACGTGGAGTTAGTGCAGCAGCAGAACAAGCAACGCGTGTCCTGCTCTGGACTTAGAGCAATTACTGCGCTACTTCGAGTGATGTTTTCTAGAAGTTAGTCTTCCATATGTGAGATATAGAACTCCTCCGATCGAATGGTAAATCTCTGGGGCTTTAGAGAGGAGGTGATTTTGAAGTTTGGCCTATGCAAGTGACCTGCGTCAGTTGGATTTTTCCCACTGACACCTCCTGTGGCCGTGATTCATCATGGTGAACCTTAGTTTATCATCGTGTACAATGGGTCTTAGACTGCTTTAGGGATGCTCCAACCCTCCATTTGGTAATAGATCATAAACACACGATCCATGTCCCTCTACTTCTTTATTAGCAAGGGTCTATGAAAAGGCTTTAATTTAATTGCCTCTTGCAAGCCATCACAGAGAAGTTTGCTTTGGACTTCGGGGGTCTCATAATTAGGTTGACAATTTATAGTACCCTGGCCAAGTTAATATATTATTATGAAATGTATGTAAATGCATCGCCTAAAAAATAGTTGCTTTTTGTAAATTATAGCTCATGTGATAATAAAGATTTAGTGCTAAATGTTGGAGGAGTTCTATGTCACCTGTACTTTTGTGAAAATTAGGCATTGGCTGCAAAGGTACGTGAAATGAAGGAAAATATTGTTCCCTTTTAATAGAAAATACATTTATCTTGTAATGTTTGACCTGGACTTCTAGGATTATATTAAAACATACATTTTTATGACATCTATAATTAATTTTCGTCAGTTACATATTTTAACAGATATAGATGACACCAGCTAAAATAAGTCTCTGTAGTGATTAAATGATTTGTAATGAGCCTTTAGAAAAATTCTATTTTACGTCCTTTGAGCGTCTTAGGCATCCTTTCAGAATTACTGTGTTTTTATATAAACTTCATAGTTCAAATCCCTTCAAAGGGCATTGTTATGAAACTTCAGATTTGGCTCTCTGAAATAGGAGAAAGAGAAGAAAATGAGAGGTGGCTTCTATCTTTGACCTCTCTAAGGAAAACAGCGCTACATATTTTAAGCAGGTCTTTTGGAAACAGGCACGATACTAGGCATCTTTTTTTTTTTTTTTGGAGAGATTTTCACTGTAGGGTGCGTGCGCTCGCCAGACAGACAGAGAGAGACATAGAGACAGAAAGCGAGAAATCACCCCCCAGGGGGGATGGTCACGCCGCAATCCCTTCTCCTCCATTCTCTCTCGGGATCTTGGGCACGCACGCACACACGCCTGGCGTGAGTTTTAAGCCACCGAGTCCGGGACACGAACCGCGGTCAACTACGTGGGAGTCCAGCAACATAGCCATTACGCTAACTGCTGGTTCCCACTAGGCATCTTTTTGACATCTCCCTTTTCCTATGTTCGGTAAAGCTGTACCTTTACAGAGACAACCCCAGTATCTTTGCACATCTTAAAGTAAGGTACATGATCATTCGGCTTCTGACAGCCTCATTTTACAGTAAAAACTGAGGGTCACAGGTCCAGCAGGTGGTAGTGGTTAAGGCACTGGACTCCCACATGGCCGACTGAGGTTCTAGCCCAGACCCAGCAGCTTGAAACTCATGCCGGGCACATGTGTGTGCATGCCCAAAATCCTGATGGGAGAATGGAGAAGGGGTAGCAGCATGGCCATCCCTCCTGGGAGGTGATTTCTCACTTTCTCTCTCTCTGTCTCTCTGGTGAGTGCATGCTTCCTTTTGCAAAAATCTCTCTTAAAAACAAAAACCAAAACCCTGAGGCTCCATGTTGAAGGGATTTATTTAAGGTCAGAAAACTCGTTAGTGGCAGGCGTCCTGAATTTTTCCTTGATTTAATTTTAGCATTTTTTTCTTTCTTTCATATGATACAGTGTGTATGTGTGTGTGTGTGTGTGTGTGTGTGAGCACGAGAGAGAGAGAGAGAGAGAGAACAGTTTCATATCACAGTCCTCTTTTTCTGGCCCTCCACATTCTCAGGATCTTGTGCCTATGCATGTCCCTCGAGTATTGTCAGGCCAACCCACGGATTCGAGCCCATGGTTGTACTGTGGACTGTACCACCTGGCTGGACTCAGTCTTCATTTCTAATTGCAGACATGCTTGAAGAGTGCATCTCCATGGGATCAGCAGATAGCAGAATGGCTACGTCGCTGGACTCCCATGTAGTCAACCACAGTTCGAGTCCTGGACCCAGTGACTTAAACTCATGCTGTGTGTGTGTGTGTGTGTGTGTGTGTGTGTGTGTGT